TTGGGTGCTGTCGGTGCTACTCGCCTTCCAGGATGGGGACCGCGTGATCCTCACTGTGCCTGGTTGGAGACACTACAAGATATGGCTGCCAACCGATGTCAATGGTGTTCTTGTTATCAGTTCCTATCCAGATTGCCTGAGTGAGTGTCAGGAGGTATAGTCACCTCGGAATGATTGTGTTAAGCTAGCACTAGGTCCCTCCCCCGTCCACCTTTATTCTTTTCTTTACAATAAGGCTTTCATGTAAATCATGGCTGTACGGCAGTGAAGCATCGGTTTTGACACTGATGTCCATGATGATGAAAGTACCCGAACTAGCAATATTCCAACACTACCAACTAAATTGTGCAAGGAAGTAATGTCGGCATTATTGTGTTCGCCAGGTCGGTTGAAAGTATTACACTTATAGTTGAGTAACTCAACCTTCCAGCGCTGTATTTTGCCGTTTTCAATTCTTGCTTTTCTGTCGACTGTCGTATTGAAGGGCCCTCCGAGTACTTTGTACGGCCGCCTCCTGATGGATTCGATGATAGAATACGTCTTCTTGATGGAAGAATGACCCTTCTCACTCGAATTGAGTGTCCTCGACAACAAGATTACTGGTAGATGATTTTGGCTGACGGATGCGCCACTGGATGTGGTGAATTCATGTTAGAATTTGACGCAGACACGCGTCCAGGGAAGTAGAATATGCTGCCTTTGTAAGAGACGGACACTGCCACAGCTTCTGGCAATCGACACAGTCAATAGCAGACCTGGGATTGTGAAAGGCGATCACTGTAGGTCGCCAGGTGGAGTGGCCTAGTTCCAGTGCTTGTAAAGTGAAGATTCTATAAATGCGGCCTCGGCTTTGGAGGATCCCAGCTTGTTTCTCACGAATCCGACCCTCCTGATGATGAATCAACCTGCGTTGGATAATACCAGAGATCTTGGAAACTATGACCACCAAGCTGATGCCTCTGGCTTTTGGGCGATGTTCTTGTATCCCTTCTGAATGTATGAATCAACGTCCAGGTACTGCATTCCCTCGGACTTCTCTTGTCACTCCAGACATTTTGATATAGGGTTGGCCACGAAGGACTCACCACTTTATTTGACGAGTTTAGGATGAAAACCGCCCAGTTGCTTGCTTCCACCGAATTAATGGTATCCTCCCCTAAACTTCCGTCTTCGATGGCGGACTGGTATCGAACTTCCACTCGGGTCCATTTGTCCTTCCAGGGGTTGAGTCGATACGGACTAGCTGAACCGTTCTTCACAGTGTTCTGCCCATCGTTCAAGGTAACATCTCTGTGAGTTAATCGAGGTTTCATCCTTTTTTGGGAGTAATTACACTAACACCCGCCCTCTTCGGACCAACTGATCGAAACAGCTGCAACGGGAAGCGACTGTTCCCCTTTGCAACAGCCTTCTGCATTTCCAGGGCTTTTCCAATACACCGGCGCTATCTCCCAATTCCAGACTCCTTTTCCCCTTTGCAACAGCCTTCTGCATTTCCAGGGCTTTTCCAATACACCGGCGCTATCTCCCAATTCTCAGACTCCTTATTTTTCGGAGTCTGTTTGTTGCTCTTGTATTTTTAGACTTCCATTAGAGCTACTGATCGTGACCAGATCCAATGTTCGTTGGGTATGCGAGCGACCTCGGGCAGAGGGGCGATTTGGTACGCGCGGCCGCACAATACCCATAGCCGGAGTCCAGCAAAAGGCAAACCTCTATCGAAGCTCTCTACAGGTCACATGTTCCAACTTAGTCTACTGCCGGTTTGTACTTGGTGGCCTCCAAGTCACACGGTGTGACTGCTTACGCTGAGAGTTTGTGCTGGCTAGAAGCAAGTGATGCTCAGCACATCATTGAAGAATTTTCTTCCCATTTTCTGTGTGGTGTGCATCAACCCCAAATCGGCCGCTCGGTCGGCCAGCCCGAGCATTCACTTGCTCCGGCCACCTGCCAGATTCATGACATTTGTACTTCTTGCTGACCGGAGTCACCGTGAAAAATCACAATAGAAGCTGACTTTCTGGGCCTCACAGCTGCTGTGTATCGAAGAAAGCAAACACCGTTCACCACATCTTGCTTGAGTCAATCAACCTGGAGCCCGATTCAGTCAAGCGCGCTGAACTCGGGGTGAAGCACAACTCGCCATTGCATCAGGACCACCAGACACCCGAACAGTGGACTTTGAAAACTCGGGCGGTTTGAGTTGTACGACTGAACTGGGGTCTTTTATACGTGTCTCTGAGATACAACATAGATCGCACGAAATGTCTGAACAAGAGCTACCTTTTTCCCAATCAGTGTACGACCAGTACGCGGTTATTACAGCTGATAATGATGATGATGATGATGATGATGGTAGGGGTTTCCGGAAAATTTTGGTAACAATCGGTAGATTTACTGCTGGGCAACGTCTATTTCGATTTACATTACTGGGAAGAAGCAGTGATCAGCAGTTAAGTGAGTAAGAAAGACTTGTGTTAGGGAGCTATGGGGGATTCAGTGGCTGAGGTGCGGATGGTTCAATCGCGAATTCACTGACCGGAAGTCCCGTGGTTCGAATCCGACCTCTGCATCTCGACTTCTATCTAGACTTGGGCTATCCGGCGGTATCCCAACCCTGTTGCTTTCTTCGGGTGATATGGCACCTAGATACCGAAACGACTGTCTTTGTCCTTACCTTTCAGTGGCTTAATACCCGAATGGTGCTCCGTGATTACCCAAACCGACGAAGGGAGTTTGGTTGTGGTACCTCGCCTCAAGCATGTGACTCACAAAGTGGGAGAAAGTATGGTTTTGTTCGGATGCCCTTCCTCTGGTCCTCGACTTAAAATTCTGAAGCACGAAGCAACGGTTTTTATGGTGTCCTGATGGACCCTCCCGGATGCCGTGGACTGGATGCAAGGGGTTAACGTGGCCGTAGGAGGGACGCAGAGAGTAAGACATAACTGTGTGACAGCTGGCACCTTCTGAACAGCACCAAACTCTGGTTTTAAGAGATTTTGAACGTGTTGTTTAATGCACTGGTGGTCACGTCCAACCCTTGGGTGATCGGTGTGTGCCGTTTGTGGGGCCGACTTTTTCTAACCCGTCCTTGGGGGATGAATGAGATGGCCCAAGTGGTTAGAGGGCGAATTTACTGACCGGAAAGTTCGTGGTTCGAACCCAACCCTCCTGACTTCCCCTGTCTAGCCTTGGGCAACCTGGCAGTATCCCAGCCCTCGTGCAACCTTCGGGTGGCATGGCAGTTCGGCACCGAAAGGGTGCTACAGCAGTACGATTTTTTCTCTCTCCAAGGATGTCGGTGAACTCCTCAGCCAGTGCCTGTCTAGCCCACTTGGATCTATCTAGGAGAAAGAGACCGTCCCAGACAACTCGGGTGAATTGATAATGGTGTCAATTCTCACTTCGCAGTGAATGTAGGAACCGCAGAGGTGTTAGTTTGACTCATGTTGTGACAAGGCTTCTGGCGTCGCTAATTCTTCGTCGTCTTTTGGTGGCACGTGAACCGTTGACTCGTGAGAATCAAGTGGGATTTCGACCGGGAAGTGGCTGCGTTGACCACATCTTCACATGCCATCCTTTTGTGCAGCGTAATTCTAACGTGCACTACTGAGTGGGCCAAATACTATCGGCTCAGGTTACAAAGACTGTTCGTCTAGTGACATCGGTCAATCACAGGAACAAACGATGGCGAATGCTGACCCTAGCCTCTATGCCCTTGATTGCTTTATTGACCTTGGGTTGTATTTCAGCCTGTTCAACCAAACTGGTCTTTTTACTTTCGTCCGGAAGCCGTCTGAATAGAAGGCGTCCAGTTGCTATCATTTGCAGCGGCACCCTGCTACCTGTCGCCGTCAGAGCTGTTCGATCGCGTCTATGAGTTTCTCTACCATTGTCAAGCTGAATGATATTGATGACTATATAGCTCCTGCAAAGGTAACCCTAATTCACAAGCTTCACTCACTCGACAGAGTTGTATCAAACCGGTGAAGGTCGACACACAAGGTGGCCGTACTAAATCAATACGGATTGAACAGGATGGTACCTACACCGCTGTTACAGAGGTGTAAGTCTCTCGGGATGTACACTTTTATACTAATGATTGATTTAAGACTGGGGAAAGTTACACTCTAAAGAAGGCCTCCATATCGCTGAATGATTGTCTGGCGTGTAGCGGATGTATTACCACCGCAGAAAGCGTGCTAATTTCGGAGCATAGCGCGCCGACGTTTTTGAACGTTTTACGTCAAAGAGACCAAGTACGTTTCGAGTTTAACATGTTATCATGTTTCAGGCCTCCAGTTCTAAGCGCACAATAGTCGTTTCCATATCACCGCAGTCCATTGTCAGCTTGGCCTCGTATTTGAATAAGAACGATGCTGTACGTTATAAAGAGTGGAAAGCGAAATTTTCAACTGACCTCGAAGGCCTGCCAGAAGCGGAATGCACGGAGCGCTTTTTGGTGCAGCAGTTCCGTGCGATGGGTGTCGGCCTCGTACTGAATACCACGTGGTTCCGAGACATCGCTTTATCCGAGTCTGCTGCAGAATTCATCCGGCGTTTCACGGCAGCCAACTCTGACCCGACTGGTGCACATCTACCGGTGTTCTGCGGTGCTTGTCCAGGTGGGTTAGAATCAGAGGTGTATCGATCCGTTTTTTTCGTGAGTCCGTCAGCCTGGTCAGTTGATTACGTTGTACTGGTCGCATTATCCAGCTCCTATCGAGTTACAAAACGGTTATTTATGGCGCACAAACGGCGCGTACATTATTATTTATTTACCAGTATTGACCCTTCACTATTTGTATCAGTGTCCAGAAGTTTGTGTTAGAACTGCACTCATCTGGTTCGGTCTTTTGTTCTATCTGTAGGCTGGATTTGTTACGCGGAGAAAACCCACACTGGTGTGGAAACATCAAAGGAAACCACAAAGTTCGTGAACCAATCCTTCTCTATTCTCCCGCACTTGTCCGTCGTGCGTTCTCCACAGCAAATAGCGGGAAGTTTACTAAAACGTCTGTCTGAATCTCAGCAATCCTCGCTGTACCATGTCACCATAATGCCATGTTTTGACAAGAAGCTAGAAGCGTCGCGGACTGAGTTCGCTTCGCCGGCGCATTCGGCACGGCAAGATGATCCCGAAATGGTTCCGGATGTGGATTTGGTTCTGGCCACCAACGAATTACTGGAAATCCTCGACACAGTCTATGAAGAGATCACTGACCAAGGGCCACTATCGATGAAAGAACCAGTTAATGTTGAATGTGATTTGTGGCAAATATTGAAGGGGTGGGTTTGTGACTATCGTGTCCCATAACTTTACGACAAACTTACCATCGCTTGAAAACTGTTATTCTTCAAGGACTTTGGTCCATTTTTTGCCCATTTCGCTCTCCCCGTTATTCTAGGACCTCGTTTTCGTAGTTTCACTAATTGAGCCTTCGAGTAGGATGGTGCTAGGCACGTGACTCGTCACCAGTAGGAAATACACTTTATGCGGCGAGACGACTCAGTGGTTAGAGCGCGAATTTACTGATGGTTTGAACCCGACCCCTGCCTCTCGAAGTCCCCTGTCTAAGCCTGGGCATCCTGGCAGTACCCTAGCCCTCGTGCTTCCTTCGAGTGGCATGGCAGTTATACACCAAAAGGGTGCTCAGCGGAGCGATTTATCTTTATACACTTGATGCCGTAAAAATGCGCTAATCACTACTAATGTGTTTTCTCATTGTGGAAACCAAAGTAAGATAGTAAGTGTCCGGTTTAGCGAGAAACAGATCAGAGTATCAAGCGCTCTACTGACAGATGAAAGTCGCTTCAGACTCGTCATTATCATGCACGCAGATCGCGCTTCCATAAATCACGAAATTGCACAGCGGGCTTTAAACTTTCTTGGCGCTATGTGACTGGGGATTTCTGACAGACGGACATAGCTGTCACAACATATTCACCCGTTTGGACTAAAGTGGGTGTAGCACGCTCTGGTGGGATGGTAGTGACACGCCCGCCTTACGTGTTTGAGTCTTGGATTTCGAATTGCGGGCTCGAACAAGAGCAATGTCCTAGCCTATCCCTTCCTCTATTCGGTTTGGACTAACCAGGACGATCGCGCCAGCGCAGTTATCTGAACGAAAACGATGTGGACAAAGAAACGCGAATCTTTTGCCCGGGTTACTGAGTTTTTCCGACAGAATGGTACAGATACCAAACTCAATTGTAGCATACATTGGATACTGTGTGTCCTTATTACAACTTTGGAGGGATTGTAATGGGGTTGATAAAGAGTCCTTCTACGATAGTGAGTTGGAGCCTCTTGAACGCCTCCTACTGCTGACCATGATTTCCTTGGTGTCGAAGCAAAACGAATCAAAGAGGTTGAGTCAAACCAGTAAGGAAAGCCAGTCGATAACATAACCTGGTCATCAGCTGCGACTAACTTGTTCGATCACTGGTAGATATCCTATATGTACTGGTTGACTGATTAAAGATGGAACTAATCAAAGACGTATTCAATGGGCACCATGTTTGGAATAAATGAGGGCTGATAAATACAAGCTAGGTAAATGGCAGAGGTCCCTACATCAAATAATCAAGAGATGTCCTTACTGCTCAAACTATGTCATCACCAGAGAGAGCGACTCGAGAAGGTAACAATTGAAAAATCAGTCCACCGTGTGTGGTGTATATTCTTTAATGCATTGATTCGTCCTGACTATGTTACTCTATGGGTTCTTTCTTATGTTGCATGATAGATCTCATATCAGCTCAGTTAATGGAGCGGTGCATAGCCCCATGCCTGAACCAACCCCATTGCGAACGCCAATGTACCGGCATGCAGGCAGTGGTTCCGGTGGATACGCTCTGTTCGTGTTTGCACAGGCTGCTGCGGAACTATTTTCCATTCATTTGCCCCCTGACGATCCAACATCAGACGACCGCGTTCTGACGCGGACCCTTCAGAACCAAGACTTGCAGGTGAGCAGTACGCATCCAGTCGCTATGTGTCGCTGAATAGTACACTTTCCTGACTCAGCTCAAACGAATAGTAGCGCGAACACTTTAACGTTCTCTCCTACTATCAGAGTGTCTAGCGGTGAAATGATCTCTTATTCAGTTGGTAGACTTGCAGTTAGAGGAGGGATTTGGGGAATAGAATGAGGCACATAATAACACACTGGGGTGGTTGATCTACTTAAATTCCACCTTGTCGCTATTCATTTATGGGTGATGTTCCATGACTGACGACCAATAGTGGGATAAGGGACAATGGCATCAGCTGATCGGTTCACATTGAAAAGTGTTCATCTGAACTTGGTTGTCTGAACTCGAACCGCCATGTGCGTCCATATCAATACCGGCGTGAAGCATCGGTGTTGAGCACTGATGTCATGCTGTCATTGATGATGATGATGATGATGATGATGATGATGTGCGTCCATACCAATACCGGTGTAACAGTGTGTGCTACTGTTGAAACATGCGAGTAGTATATGGTCTAGTGTCCAATCTCCGCCTTCACATCTTATGGAGGTTGAAAGTTACTACGGAAGTTATGGAACCGTTTTGCAGTGTTCGGTCATTATTGTTCAATATTCACAGAACGTCCAGGAACGTTCCAGAGGACGCTTAAGAATGTTCAGCCTTCAGAAACTGAGGGTGCTACAGCTGGATGATTATTAGAAACTGCAGACGAGATATTTTGTCGTCAGTAGTTCCATCGAGGAGCGAACACCAAGAGGGAGATAGAGATTGTCCCATGGAAAGAAGGATTCGCTCTTCTGAAGGTGAAGGCTGCTCAGTCAACCTTTTGAGGTCCCTCAACACGACACTGCTCATAATGTCAGCTTGTCACTGCCCGCCTATTGATGTCCGGAATATCTCCCTAAAAGTACGACGTTTCTGCGGTACATTCTGTTAGGGCATGTTGCGAACGACGAAGGTGGTTGAATTTTAACTGTCTCCTATCAACACCATATGGTTTATTCTGTTTTACTAACCACTTTACGGGGAATCCGATTGATTCATCCCCGACCAGCTGTCATCAACGACCAGTCAGTGATCTCCTGTGCTTCCATACCCGGTCGAACCCGACCTCTGCCTCTCGACTTCCCCTGTCTAGGCTTGAGCAACCTGGCAGTATCCAAGCCCTCGTGCAACCTTCGGGTGGCATGGCAGTTAGGCACCGAATGGGTGCTACAGCTGAACGTGTGACCTAAGGCGTCCTTGGTTTCACCTCCGTGGATACCGCGAGACTCTTCTGAACTGTTTCTCCTACATCTGCCCGCTGAGTCCTATGAAAGACGAAACGCTTGGTGCCTGTAGTTGATATTATCAAATCCAACTCCTATGGATTTGGTGGTTTTGTCGCATCGCCCACAAGGATCGCGAGAAGTTGAGAATAGCCACCCTTCTGCTTTCAAGTGGTCAAATTTTCAGATTAATTCATGGTGTGGAATGAAAGTGTTTCTGCGCTTGGAGGTTTCCACCGCGTAGTATTCAATGGAGCCGTCCAACTGTATACAAATTCGCTCCCTAGTCTACGGTCCGTCACAAAGAGATTGAACCTTACCGTGCTGTGGTGGTTTGTGTACCTCGGCAACCCATTGAGATATACTGGAGGGTGTCTGCACGACACTCACAGTCTCTCACACCAGGTTGGTCAGTGGTTAGAGGTCTGACGAACACAATCTCCTGGCCCTCTGTAGAAATGGTAATGCATTTGCATTTCCTGCCAAACACCGCTGCCTTGCGGTTAGGCTTTTGAGCCAAAGGCTTTGGATGAGGACCCTAATCGTCCTCCTGTCTAGGTGCGGGCGCCCTGGCGGAATCCCAGCCCTCATACAACCATGACAATTAACAATATTTACATGCCTAGTCTACAGACAGCTTAAGAATCTCGCCTAGCAGGTTATTTCATTCAAAGACTTTTGTTTTGCTTCGTATGTGTACCTCGCGCTATGTATCTCTGTTCGCTTCGTATTTTTCCACATTCACAGGAGCTACTTCTTTTCGCATCTAGTCAGGATTGTGCCACCGCCAAGCAGATGTTATCCAATCTTCCAAACAGTCGTACGCCTTATCGATCAATCAAATCAGTCAAACCGCCTGCTTGTTTGCTCGCATTTGCTGTGGCGAACGGGTTTCGGAACATTCAAAACTTGGTGCAGTCCTTGAAAAATGTGTACAAAGCGAGGCATTGTATGGAGAACCAACCTACTGCACGTTCCACATGCTATCCGTTCGATTACGTGGAAATCATGGCCTGTCCGGGAGGTTGGTTTTCAGTCTCTCTCCTAACATTTGTTATTGCCGATCCGCATTCTATCGGACCAATCCGTTTTCCTCTTTCAACTTGTCCCGTTCTCATCAGCCATCATTGGTTAAGCATCTGTTTTATTGTCTTATGAACTGTTTGCAATGAACTGCAAACAATGGGAGCAAGGTCAAGTCTAGTGTTGGTCTGCACGCACACACACCGGAGGTGTGTACACCTCCAAACCGTTATCAAAGAATCTGGGTAGAAAGTTACAACACCAACATCATTGACACTGCTTTGCAGTCATACGTCGCAAGGTCTTCAACAAAGCTCACAGAAGGATGTTCACCGCAACATCTACCCTTCTGTGAAGTCATGCGTTCACCTCCCTTCTGGTTGCGCACTTTTGTGTTTAACATATAAAGCATTCAGGCATTCTCTACCTCGGCGGTTACGAAGCAGTCCTTAGATTTATAGCAATCATGGTTAAGAAACTGTTTTCTCGGTTTTTCTGTTCGTGGCTTATTGCCTTCAGTTCCATCCACTGTCATTCTTAATTGGGGATTCACCTGTCTGCAGCAGGAACCGGTGTACTTCATCACATGGTTTGTGGTTGAGAAACTGAACTGCACTATTCGCGACTGTTTAGCAGCTACACACCAGTATTTTGTACTAATACATGCGATGGTATTACCTTGGTGCCTAAAGTCCATTGGGACTCTGGTGCATTTACTGGAGTTTTCGACCGGTTCTCGGCGCTGACTCGAGCCCTCTACGAACTGAAAGATTACTTGACCTGTTCGCCGAGCTTTTCAAATGTTTAGTCGCCATTCATCAGTGCGTCGTTGGATGACTTGTCACTTTAGTGCTTGTGTTTATGCATTTATGCTTCAACGTAATCGGTTAACCTCAAGTTCGGTACTCTCGTTACCTATTAGCCATTTCTAGATCTGTTCTGCGCTGCCCCCCGACTTCCTTGTATTTCGTTGACTCATTGGATGTCGGCATTTTCAGTAGATTCCACTCATTGTTTTGTACCGCACCTACCACGCGTCTTCCATGGCGCGTTGTCCACCGACATTCACACGGAATTTATTAGCCTCTCATTATAAAAATGGCTGCTATTCACCCATGCTTCTCTCTTGTTGTGCACTTCCTCGCCCATTTCACCGGCAGAACAGAAAAATTATCATCGTGCTCAGTTTTCACCTTGCATTTCCCGTGCTATGAAGCGGAACCCCAAGTTCGCTTTTGTGAAGGGCTTATTTTCTGTGGTCGAAGCTGAAAATCAACTGTTTATTTGTCTACTTTGTGCCTGATCGGAATCGGGTTTTGGGGTTGATAAGTAGCCCAGTCACGCCCGCCTTAGCATGACTAATTCGTAGCTACTTTCCATTAGATAGTAGTATTTTTGAGGCCGGTTTCCACATCATAGCGATGGACGCACAGACGGTCACCAGCACGGACATGATCGGTTTCCCGCTGTTTAGGTTATTCGTGACGTGATTTGCCTGCCAGTGTAGCGCCACCAACTGTAGCCAACATGGACTTTCCCGGTTCTGTCTGCACACTTAACTCCCGTACCACAAAATAAACTCACTGTTGCTTGCGGTTCACCGGATCTTCCGATGGGTATGACCTCTTGGTTGTCGTTGCTCCTAGGTTTTGTCAAGACCCACACCATTCTGCCTCAGTTGCGTTCTGTGCGTGGTTTCTTGATTGCCAATTTCCCTTGTTACTTGGTTATCTATCGGACGTTGAACGTGCACCGAACGCGTGGCTGCAGTTGTATGATTTCAGTGTGGTCGGTCAGTATACACATAACTAGTACGAAAGTTATGTGAAGGGCAAAATTCATCTACACCCAATGGTGACAGGAGAGTTGAGGAGAGAGCTCCTCGCCGTTCAGTGAGATTTCAAACAGGCCACACACATTCAGTTTGCAGTCTTCATATTCATTCTACCAAATTGCGTTTCTGTGTATCGGTACGGGCCCAAATGCCTCAGTTTCTGTCAGAACAGATTGGTAGCTGGGTGCTGCTCGCAAGCCTGTTTTACCCTCTCGCACGTATTACTGTCAGTAGTGCCGAACCTCGCTTTCTCACTATTTCCAGGTTGTATAAACGGTGGTGGGCAGCTGAAAGGAACTTTTGAACAAGCATTCACGTTTTACCACGAACTTCCATCGATGCGACCAATGTCGACTTGGATTGCACAGCAGATCGGAGCGTACGTGGACCAGACGGACCCGGAACACCGTTCCTTACACACGCAATATCGAGAAGTCCCTAAAATCGAAATTATCAATCCTTCAGCCTTACAGTGGTGAGCCGTGGGGAAGCGATCAGTTTTTCAGCTGTGAGCAACAAAGGACTCACGTGACCCCTTTGTAAATAGAATTCTGCTTCTGCTTTTATTGATTTCTGAGCAATAAACATTTATGGATGGAACCGCTTCTTGCTTGTTGATAACGGAGTGCGGTATAGCAACATCCTACCATGAGTACCGACACTTAAATCCCGATACTCATACCACTTCATTCGCCCAATAAGATTCAACCAAGACAGAGAACACTCTCCACTAATATTTCTTCATTGACCAAAGGCACTACTTATAAGGATCCTAAAAACTCTGACACTATTTCAATAGGTCGTAAAACGTGGCTTGAAAACGGCAATCAATTCCTGTCCATGGTCTCTCCAGGATGTGAGACGCATCGGCCGTGTGTAATTGCAGGACCGAACACACACGTTTGATTCCGAAAGGTAATCTATTCCCGTCCATGGCCTACAAGTTCTCTCCAGGATGTGAGTTGCATCGGCCGTACGTAATTGGGGGACCAAACACACACGTTTGACTCCGAAGTGATTTCAGGTCTGAGGGCATTTTCAATATGCCTGTTTCATAACCACAATACGCACCGGAATGGATTGACCCCACGTCATGAAATGCAGTACACCTCTTGGTGGGTGCTCGCCAACACGTCTTGTATTCTGAGGGGTAACACTATGAAAAGTGGAACTCAAACATTCCTGAAAATTCAAACTCAATTTTAAATAATTGTGGAAAAATAAGGTTGAGCTGACCTCTGAATAAGTAGCCTCTGGATGCCAGCCAAGCCAAGAAGTTTGTTGCACATCAGCATCGGTACTTGTCAAGGAATTATTAGTCAATGGAATATCATTTTTGTGGGCCATAGTTTTCCCAATGCCTTCTAATACCGTGAGCTCGTGTCTGGATAGCCGATTGATAGCCTGATTGCGCTTAGCCAAACCAGAAGGTCGATGAGCTTGCGAATCAGCTGATCTACGGAACACTGACGCGTACAGGAGTGTCGTGTGAAGCCCAAAACGGACCGTTTATAAAGCTCATGTGGAAAGTTCCTTCGGGCAAAAAGGTGATGCTAAAAATAGAACTCAGCTGTCAAGGGCAAGTGAAGAATAACCAGTCTGTCTTAACGAAGGCAGTTATTCCATTGGTGGTTGTGTAGTCCAGTTACGTTCGGAGCTGGTCCTCCTAATAGATTTTGAAGTTCCAATCTAGGTTACATCCAGTAATTGATATCATGTAATGCTTGAAAGCTCAGAGAATCTGTGTGGGTGCTTCATTCTTGCTGGTATTCATTAAAAATGCGCATCTCCCGATGAGCACTTTAGCCCACGACTTTCCGGTAAGCAGTTGAACCTCGTATCATTCGAAACGAGTAGTTGACCACCAGCCTGGACTGGGGCGAGATGGACAAAGTGGTTAGAGCGCGAATTTACTGACCGGAAGGTCCATAGTTCGAACCCGACCTCTGTATCACGGCTTCCCCTGCCTAGGTTTGGGCAACCTGGCAGTATCCCAGCCCTCGTGCCTCCTTCACATGACATGGCAGGTAGGCACCGAGGCGGTGCTACAGCTGAATGGTTTGAATGAGCCTGGACTGCTGCTGGCTCAATGGCGCTTTAATCACACAGTTCACGTCACACGATCCACTGTTCATTGCTTCATCAGATGGTGACTGTACCAAGCCCAGGTTCGCATGTATATAGGGCTTTCCGTGCACGCCAGCTGAAGCGTGTGAGCTGTTATAGCCCAATACAAACATGCGCAGTTACAGCACAATTGACAAATTCTAATGATATAAATAAACTTGGGCATTGAATTTTGCAACGAGTTCGCCCTAAGTACTTCCATTTTCTTTCTAGGGTGGTGACCAACGCTACCCCTTGCGATGATTATTTTCGTAGATCAACTTGCAGTTTACATTTTGCCCATATATTTCACATCATTTCTAAACTACTGGTGGACTTAGCTCCATTGCAACGGCCTATTATAGCAGTCTTCCGTCCTCAGTTGAATCCAAAACGATTGTGGGACAAAAAATCGTTCAGTTGTAGCACCGTTTCGGTGCCTAACTGCCATACCACCAGAAGCATTAGGGCTGGAATACTGCCAGATTGCCCAAGACTAGACAGGAAAAATTGAGAGACAGAGGCCGGGTTCGGTCAGTAAATTCGCGCTCTTACTGCTGAGCCCTTGTGAGGCAACGACTGTCCCTTACGTCTGTACAATGCAAGGTTAGTGTTTGGGCGAATGTGATTAAGTGACAAATGAGAGCTACTCACGCTGCCGTTCAGCCGCTCCTGGCCCATTACGTGTTCAACCACTGGTCGTGATATTGAGGTTTTGAAACTCCCTACTGGAGTTTGGTGAGATGCGTGCTGTCGAGGGTGGAACAGCTGTACAGTGCTTCACGGCTTTACATGGCCTCACTGACACGAAATATCATTTGAACATTACCAAGTCTCCTCACACTAACACCAAGTATGAGTAGTCTGTGAACGGGGCGGATATAAAGCCTTAACGCCGTGAGTGGATGTTCACTGATTGTGAGAGTAGTGAACATCCATAGTGCGTGCGAATTGTATAGGAGTCGGCTTGTCCCGTAACGTTGTACAATCCGATGCTAAAACATCCTTGAGACCGCCCTCTACCCGTAAGATATGGCGGTAGATTTTTATGGAAAGTGATATTGGGCCGTAACAGCTTCCGGTCGGACAGATCGTGACCATCGTTCAATCAGAGTCTAACAGTCTACGGCTATGGGCCTTTATTTTGAAGGCCAGCAGCCGAATCCTCTCGCAAGTGGAAGCAGTTGCAGTGAACCACGCCATTGACCGCTCAGCACATGTTCCGCCAATGAGACTACGACTAGTAAAGGTAACCTAGATTCCGATTCCCCTTAGTTGATTTTGAAGTAGTCTCCTTTTTGGCGGACAAATTTAGTTTTGCGGGAGACTCAATTAGAACCCAGCTGAATCTTTCGTTTATTAGGTTTTTAAGCAGCTGAATGTGCTGCACCAGGCCGCCTCATGCTTCAGTTGTTTGAGATATCGCGATCCATGGTAAGTTAGTATTACGGTCGAGTTTCGTTCGCTATGTTATATTCACTGTCCTCTGCTTAAACGACCGAAACGTCACCTTCGTATCTTAAAAAATTAGACACCCTGAGGAAAACTGCGTAAAACGCCCGGGATACAGCGCCGCGACAATCACTGGACCTAATCGTGCTACCTGACCGCTGCAATTCAACAAGATACAATGCATCGCCTCGCCCTGGGCAAGCTTGCTTTGGTGTGCTCGTTCGTGTTTGCATCATCCATGCAAATGCAATTCACAGAGCGACCGAAACGGAATCAAGGCAGCGGAGAAACCACAAACTGATTTGATGATTGGTTCAGCGACTTGGACTACACCAGAGTGACTACATTTGCGAGGCCACATCATCCTGACAGTCATCATCATCAGACCGTTCCGAGCTCTGTTGATGAGCGCCAGTATCGAAAATGCTATGGAATCTCACCTCACTGACTAGTTTCGCACGGATTTCACACCACCCGTGTGACTACTTGCTTCCTTTGAGCGACGACTTCTCAGATAGGTGACTCAAGCGATTTGTGGGACAAGTTCGTAGCTGGGCAAACCACACACATAGTGTGAGTAGTTCCATACTTATATTTCACCTTGCGAATACAGAACAGCCACACTGAAAAGTCGAGGCAGTGTACACAGCTGACCGTAACCCCCATGAGAGCTCCATATGGAGTGTTTTCCTGAGGACCGAATTCCCCACGCCTTGTAAATAGTAAAAACCTGAATTCAATCCCGCTAATGTATCAAGTTATGCCGAAAAGTTAGGAAGCACTGTGCGGTTGACAGTCATCATTGACGTCACGAATCGTTTAGGAGATTCGAACCTGATACCTTCTTACAAGTACCGATCGGCTAATCGGCGTGATCCAGTCGAGCGTAGGACATCGCGCCAGTATACTCCCATCATACATCTGGTGTTGATCAGATCATTCAAATTTAGACTAGTCAGATAGTTTTATGGAACGTCCCCTTTTCCGAGAAACGTCACGGTCATCGACAGCATAACATCAGCGCTTCGCTGCTGTATAAGAGCGCAACTCATGGTTGTACGTGGCTTGGGACGCCCAGACCTAGACTGGAATATTAGGGTCCTCAACCAAAGCGTTCAGCTCATAAGCTTGACCATAAGGTAGCGCTGTTTGGCGGCAGACGCATTATCATTTTTCTGAACCAAGTTGCCACACATGTTCCAACCCCCAACCTGGAGTGCCACGAGACTGTGTTGTTCATACCCCTAAGCATTCATCATTAGCATTGTCAGCTGTAATAACTGCGTACTTGTTGTGCAGTATTTGTAGCTGCCGCAGTTTCGTTCACCGATTCGGGTAGGTCGAGTTGATAGGTGAACACTGCAGACAGGAGCTGATAGATTGGTGCGTGAATACAGCACTGTCAGGCAATAGCTTGGATGCACGAGCGCCATTGAGGGCGCGACTGGACCATGTCTGACAATGCCTCCAACCGTTGATCTGGCCCGTCTCGGGGTTCTCATCCATGAAGACGGCAGTGACCAAGGCAGACGAGTTTGCTAGTAATGGGTTTTACACTTCGCTGTCAAGTCATCATTTGACCTACCCTGGCTCGTTTCCAGGGGGAAGAAACCCTTCGAAGAAGTCGGTCGATTGGCCTACGGAGTATGTAGTCAAGCCAGCGCAACCGATGCAGTGTGGTCAGTTCATCCATCGAGGGTGTTATTTCTCCCGAATACCATTTGACGTACTTCAGAATTGCTGATCCGGTGTTCCCACCAGATTCGGGCAATGCTCCGAAGACATCGATGGTCAACTACTGAGATTCTTTTGACGTTCTCGGGGCGTGATAACCAGGTTTCTGATCCGTATAGTAATATGGAGCATACGACAGCATTGCAAAATCGACCCTTGACAGAGAAGCTGATGTCACGCCTACGCCACAGGTGACGCAGATACACAAAAGCTGCTCTGGCCTTCCCAATCCGGATGGAAATATCATCTTTCGCCAGACCACTGGGACTGATACAGCTGCCCAGGTAAACAAATTTGTCTACTACCTCAATCGGTCCATCCACAAACATGAGAGTAGGGTTCGAGCCCACCCAGTCTTGCAGTAGCATTTTACACTTTGCAGGTGTGAAGCGCATGCCAAACCATAAAGCAAAATTATTTAGATCATCTAATATTGTTTGCATTACCACGGGGTCAGATCCAAGAAGAGCTATGTCGTCTGCATACTGTGAGTGGACGCCCTGAGAGCAATTCGACCCCACAAGGCATTAGAGACTGATGGTGAGTCTTCCATGATCGTACTAATGACGAACTTGAAGAGGAAAGTTGAAAGGAAACAGCCCTGTCAGACGCCGCTTGATGAGGTGAACTCAGGAGAGAACTTCCCGTAGACCTTTACACGGCCGCGAGGGTTGGCATACATTGACCAACCATTGGCAACCATCGACCACAACTTGTTATCGCACGGACGCCTTCCAGCATAGCTCAGTGAGTCGCGAAGGCACAACAACCGTCACAACAGGGTAGGATCCAGTCTCTACGTGATGGCCACATGGTGTACGTTGCGCGGATTTGTGAGGTGCACGCCACCCATGACAATAAAATTAGAACGCCGTTGTTGGCAGGATGGTATCGTTTCGCACGGTTCCGAAACCGGTTCCTGACCTCGATCAGTAGGCCCGCTGCGATCTCAAGGCCGAATGGTTCTTTTCACAGGCGCAAGTTCGCCTGGATCGTCAGAACACCAATACACTCGTGTTTGAAGTATCCTTCCCATCTCCATCACCCGGACAGGTCTCAATCACATGTTAGAAGAGGCTACGCAGTTGAACTTGTTTCAACTTTGAGGGTGGCTACAAGATGCAAAAGACAACTCAGCCTCTAGTTTCTGTGTATACTACCTGATCGCATCGGACCACAACTTGTCAACAGACAAACAAACCCCAATTAACCCAAACGTGACCTGAAAAAAAACAAGCTGTGTGTGTGTTATATTACCAGAAATCAAACGAATGCGAATGAGAAAAACACTCAAGGAAAATTTCACGCGGGATAAAGAGATAGTTCTCAAATGCACTTGCATGCATGTAATAGGGCGGCGCTGCTGCAAAGCAACCATGTGCCGAAGGGGCTAAACAAGAGACTGATTCGGGCGGCGCATCACTGCATTGTGTTTGTCCGTGAACATGTGTGCGACTATATGAGTTGAAAACAACCAGAATGCATTAGGTAGGCTCACGATGGAGTATTGTGATGGCTCATACAGCACCATTCGGTCCTGATGAACCAGCGTCTCCTCCCGCATTCGACGTCCTTTTCAGTTTCGCTCGAATATCCTTCAACCGACGGGACAGTGTGACAAAGTCGAAAGAGCCGCGTTGTTCACCAAACGGATCGTTCATCGGCTGACCCGTGAGTTGGGCGTTCTTCTCACAAACCTCCATGTATTGATCGTAGTACTCCTCAAAGCTAGACTGTATAACGCCCAACAGGTCCGGGGGACACCACGAACGACCTTCGAGTACGTCACACACGGCGCAACGGATTGTCTCGTGTTGAATGATGTTGTTGTAGCGCTTTGAATCCCCTGGGCTATGCTCATGTCGAAATCCGGGTTCGTTGTAATAGGGCTCGTCGTTCATCAACGATTGTATAGATACCAGGACGGACCACAGACTTTGGGCCGGTGTCCATTCGGGTCCAGTCCAAGTGCCAAGGATGCTGAGACAAACCTGTGAAAACGATGGAATGAGAGCAGGGCCACTTACTAAGGATGAACAAGTAAAAAACCATTCTGTACTCCTAATATCCGGTTGGCAGCCAACTCAGTATTAGTAAAGGTTGTAAAGTGACATAAAAATGCATGTTCACTATTCTCCCCTACAGGAGACTCCCTCGTTCATGGGTGCCCAATTGCCCGTAGCTTGACCGTTAAAAACGCCGGTGGTATGTTCTCGTAAAATGAGTCGAAAAAGCAGGACCATAAATGAGATACATAGGCTGGAATGCTGCCAGTAAGACAATGCCGTCTGAGGCCGTACTGGTGATCACCATGAAGAGAGTTGTCTTTAAGGTCACACAAGATTTGCATTGAATTACTGGACCTAAGAATATTGAGTAGAATATAAGTAGTAGAAACTGGGCAATAATTTTTAAGATCGAATGAGGTTGGACATGTGCACTTTTCAAAATCAAAGCGCAGATACGTTTTTGGATTACTGATGCTGTATTACTATCCCGGCAGAAAGCTGGCTGGCTTAGCGGAGGCTTGGAAAGGACTTTTGGGTCGTCCCTCACTGAAATGCCCTTACTGCTTGAACCGGTGGGTTGGAAGAAAATTCGACAACTTTCGATTGCCGGGGCCTTGTTCACCTCTTTGGCTTACCCCAGCCATCATTTCTCCCAGTCAGTCTTCAGACTGCATTTCAAGAGTCATTTTAGAGATCTCACCGAATCGCACTGTCGTCTGCATAAGACCGCCCTCGTCGCCTCTATCGGGGACACGAATCGTTGTAAGAACCCACTTAAATTGGATCATCGTCTCGTTTTCAGGTGTATACAGTCAGTGGTCAACGCGCAAATTTACTTAGGGGAAGGTCCATGGTTCAAACCGGACCTCTGCAGCTCGACCTTTCCTGTCTAGGCTTGAGCACCCAGGTAATATCCCATCCCTCGTGCTTCCTTCAGGTGGCATGCTAGCTAGGCACCGAAAGGGTACTACATTTGAACGATTATCTTCTTGTATTGCAATCAAACAACGAATTCACAGCGATTCGGATTTCGAATTAGTCTTTATTTGGCCGGCTGCTTTGTTTCACGTACCCAAGTTACCTACACAGCTGCTGCTGCTGACGGAATCATGGAGGCGGTGAATGGCGTAGTGGTGAATAGTCTCCTTGGTTGCTGGAAAACCAGCTGCAATACAAACAGGAGTGACAGTTTTAAGCACAAGATCGCCAACTGCTATGCGGACGATCTGAGTGTTCGATTGATTACGGTTTACAGGACGCCAGTTAAAATGATGCTGGTTGTGCTGAGATTAGTGTTTTTGAGACAGAACACAGCGACTTTGAAAGAGGACAGGGTGGGAGCAACGAGGGTCTATTGATTTATCTGAGAAAGAGCACGGATATAAACAGGTTCCTTTTGGGCTCTATTTCTGAATAAACGACTGGTACCCAACTCTGAATTTATAAACAAACACGGAACTGAATTGGCATGGTTAGTGAGTGGAGTTGGCGCCAATAATAATAACAATCGTTCAGCTGCAATACCTATTTTGTGTGCCCGAAAGAAGCACGAGAGCTAAGATACTGTCCGGTTGCACAAGCCTAGACAAGAGCACAAGTTGGGTCCGAAACAAGGACATTAGGGCCAGCCGTAACCACTGAGCTATTCCGAGCGTAGAACTGGCACTGATAAATTGAGACTAGCTGCAATACCTAAACTGCATGGACAGGTGCTACTTCCTGACTGCCCACGCCGAAGGCGGCTTGTATAAGGTCATCATTATCATCATTGTAAGTTGTACTTGTCGTACAGTGAGTGGTTGTGGTTGCCACAATTCCGTTCACTGATGATTTGGGGAGGTGGGGTAGATAGCTGCGCTCCACCAGTGTGTTTGTTTGTTTAAGGTACCCATCGTGAGCCTTTAACTTAAAAGTCAGATCCAAAATTTAGTGGGAAGGGGTTGTAAGGTTTTGTTCTGGAGCTCTTCCTTTAGCTTTCCATCCAGTAGTCTGACCCATGGGGCAGCCGGTGTGAGGTTGTGCTAGCGGGAAAATCCGTTGATCCAATGACTATATAGTTTACCCCATTTAGCTGTGCGAAGCTCGCCTGGCCCGAGGGCTCAAAAAGTAATACATAGCCGCCCGAATGTTTGGTCTGAAAAATAGTCAGACCGTGTTGAATAATACGCCGGCGGTCAGTCGTTAGATCAGTCGTTAGATAATCAAGTTGTCACCAATGCCACTCCACACAAACGAATGTTTCATCATAATCGAAAATCCGAAGTCGGTACATCATTGCCACGGTGATTGCTTTCGCTAGGACCAGTTCTGATGCGGCGAAATACACTATCTTCGAAGCATGACAACCTAGTCGAAGAGCTCCTGGAGTGTAATCCTGAGTACCCATATGTCTGACACCCTAACGGCATGGAAAAAACGCCTACGTCACTCACCTGGTGTCTTCCGCAGAGTTTGAATGAGGGCAACAGCAATCGCAGCCCAATACAGATTCAGATAATCAAGTTGTCACCAATGCCACTCCACACAAACGAATGTTTCATCATAATCGAAAATCCGAAGTCGGTACATCATTGCCACGGTGATTGCTTTCGCTAGGACCAGTTCTGATGCGGCGAAATACACTATCTTCGAAGCATGACAACCTAGTCGAAGAGCTCCTGGAGTGTAATCCTGAGTACCCATATGTCTGACACCCTAACGGCATGGAAAAAACGGTCCCCTACGTCACCTGGTGTCTTCCGCAGAGTTTGAATGAGGGCAACAGCAATCGCAGCCCAATACAGATTCATTTATTAGGCGGGAACCGACTACTTTCCTTCGGTAACAAATGTCGAATCCTTCTGAGCACTCGTAGTCTGTACAACAGCGGACACTACCGTATTTCTTGCGCAAAAGAGGTCTGATCTTATTCCGAGTGTCGCCGCACTTCATCCCTCGTCAAACACATCACTCCCCTTCGGCTTCCCTGGCAAGTTGAATTTTGACAAATGAAGCTCCAGCCGGTTTAGCCCACGGGACAATCAAAACACTCTAACCGGACCACCACATCGACTCGGCAGCTACTGACCGGGGATGGGGATGATGGTGCCGCAGTATCCTAGTCTGCCTACAACCTACAACAGTGAAATACCGGTATTCAGCATTGTGGCTACTGGCGACGTTAACTGCAATAGTAGCTGAAGACATTTTGCAACTGTCTGTGGATTTTTAAGCGAAATTCAGAGGGGTAGAACTCAGGTTGGGAAAAATATGGGGGTCCCAGGTGGAGATGGAGAAGGACGAAAAGGTCATGGTTTCTAATGAAACTGCTATGCATGACTTCAGCATTATTCGCCTGATAACTTATCGGCATCAGATTTTTCATAAGAAGCGAACGTATGCCTACCTTTCCATTCTTGTATAAGTTTGGATTGAACCGTACGGTTCCGTTCCCGGTCGTCATCAGCTTGACTCGAGGTGGTTTCAAGGGGTATTCGGGTGGAAATCGGATCAGGAACAGGAAGAAACCTCCTTCATAAGGTGTGTCAAAAGGTCCAGTAATTAATGCGTGAACTTTTGTCAAGTCCGCCTCATCTGGTGCTACAACGATGCCCGGGGCCGGATCACTATTAAAGGGTCGGGTTAGCACACACACACACACCTACCTGTATATGGTTCGTAAATCTTTAGTAATTCGTAGGAGGCAGGCGTTGCCTGTAGCTAACTTTTGATTCGATCTTGTTTCAGGATCCCATGCCTCACCAGTTTGTGACATGAAATACTGATATTCTTGCTGCTGACTAGAGGCAGACTGGTCCATAACGGTGTGGAGTGCGTTGAATCATGCAAAGCAGCTAGCTAAAACGCAACAGGGTCAATGAAGTGTAGGAACCTAGCAAAAATTAGATTAGCTTGAAAGTCAGTTTGCAGAAATACTCAGTGGTGTCCAGAATTTTGGGAGTATGGAAAAACGGGTAATCCCGTGGTAAAATAATTCGGCTGCAACACCCCTTTGACGCTTGGCTACCATGGTACCCGACGGAAGCCGGGATACTGGTGGGGTTATTAGTGCACAGGTAGTGATAGCCATAATACAAATCAGAAGGTGTATGTGTGCACTAATAGAAGTTTTTAGTATTTCTGTGACACGTATAAAAATAAATACAGTGCAAAAATGGGAGCAAGTCAAAAAGGAACTTATCGTATGTGAGAGTTCCTTGGTGAAAGTCCGGACGGCGGTAACGTGTTTTCTCCGCAGTTTGGCTGCTACACGTGTTCCATGAATGTCCGTGGACTTGTGGAGAGGTTGACGTCCTGCTCCCTGCGCGCGCGCGAGTCTGTGTGTCTTGACTGGGTTCGGTTTGCCTTTATGCAGGTCCCAGTGCGTGTATGTGGGCGCGTCGGCACATGAGTGGTTGCTACGCTGACTAGGCGGTGCAGACAATTGATGTTCGATGTGTCAGCTTAATGCGACGTGTTTGTGCGTATGAGAAAATAGACAAGCGTCGCGATCCAGTGAGCGATTGAGTTGAACAGTCAAGTATGTGGGTGACTGGGTCGCTACAGGGTGCACAAGCCTAGACAGGAGCAGTCGATATGCAGAGGTTAAATTTGAACATTGGACATTCTGATAAGTTTCCGCCCTAATTATTGAGCTATCTCGAACTATAATCCTGTGGTGATGGCAGCACTGTTTGTAGTTCTTCCGATGTTGAATTACCACACATATGGTCCTCCTCTACGTTGCTGTATTTGACTCCGTTGACACCGTCCGATTTCCCACGGACATTTAAGAAGCGTGGGGATGTGAGTCTCCCACAGAGCCCACATGGCCTCAGCTTCAGCGAGCTTTTGATCGGAAAAAGTTGAGGACATTGAGTTCAAAGATGATTACTGGATGATTCGGCACTGCAAACTCAACACCGCGTTCCGTCGATTGTACTTTGAAACTTTCGTCCAGTAAGAGTCCTGCTGCAGCTTCAAAAAGTTGCTGTTGTTCTTAACTAACCCAACGCCGAGATGATGCCACTATGCCGTATGGACACCTTGGCAACCAGTACTGCGCTCCGTTCCGACCTATCTCCTTGTCCGGTAGGATCACACTGTTCCGACGCTCGTAACTTGTCGACAGATGTTTTTCCTTAAACAAGCTGCCATCTTATTTGATCCGAATTGCGAAGACTGGTTCGCTTCCGGATGCCCGAAACGCGGATTTGAATCCTATCCTGGAATGCCCACCGCGAGAGATACTAGCTAACGATACAAGCGAACAGACATGCAAGGTTCTTCATCTGTGTTGATCAGACCCCAACCACTGACTAACCCGATAAGGGACTGCCAGTGTCGCACGGATACCCACAGAATCGCTCGATGGGTCGCGGAGAGACAAAGCGTCACATTACAGTAATGTTCAATCCTTTCATGTTTGGGGGTTGGAACATGTGGCGACTCGTTCCGTAAAAATTGTAATGCATTTGCATTTCCCGCCAAACACCGCTGCCTTGCGGTTAGGCTTTTGAGCCAAAGGCTTTGGTTGAGGACCCTAATCGTCCTCCTGTCTAGGTGTGGGCGCCCTGGCAGTATCCCAGCCCTCGTACAACCATGACCTACACAACTAACAATATTCTCATGTCACATCGGTCGTCGCGTGGTGCCATCAGCCGGGTCGCCTTACCTGCTGCATACAGCAGGGCGAGGAAGCGAAAACATGCTACTGCTGACGCCTCCCTTCTTACACTTTCACGTTTTCCGTCTTCCACCAACCCCACCCCAATTTGAATACTGTCCCCGCAGGTTCCAGCACTAGGATTAACCGTTTTGCTCGCCCTGCACCACTCCTAGCTGCAGCCTTTGTACGGCCGAGCTCAGTCACAACCCTAAACACTTCGAAGTCTGTTTTCAAACCCCGAAAGCCTGTCTACTTAGCCGCCTTTATTATTCACACACTGAAGCAAACAGGTCAACAGGTGACTCTTGCTCGTACGCTGGGTTCCCTCTGTATCAAAGTACATCGTCTGTCAGAAACAAGGACGCAGGACGCAAGTACTGTCGTCGAACTGATTGCTTCCTCGCTGTCTTCCACGTTCCGGTTGTGCTTCTGGGGATGAAGAAGCCGCTGCAGTTGAATATGCTGAGCTGTGTATTGTATTGAGCGAACGAGTGGAAGCGTCTCTGCTTGATTGGGCACCCACGATAGTCGCCTCTGTGCGAATATCTGTGAGAATTCAGAGGAAGTGAGGTTCGTCGCAACTTGTTTATTGTGTCTGATTGAGTCACAATTGACTGTAGCTCTGAATCTGCCAAGAAGTTTCTATGACGCTCTAGGTACCCTTCTACAGCAGGCTAAGAGCTCAGATATCGTTGTGGTTGCTGGCGATATGAACGCCCAGGTAGGCAGATCAAGCGCTTCTGAAGCCCGATCGTCGTGGTCGTCTTGGATTGTACACGGACGCACGGACAACGGGGATCGCTCACTTCAGGTGTACTGATCACAGAGTGTTCCCTTGTAGTGCGAATTTCTGGAACAGCGGAAATCGCCTGACAACGTGGTGCCATCAGCATATCAATATCGAATCCAAATAGACCACATCACCGTCAGTTATCGGTGGCGAGTGTCAGCCACCGCCTGCCGCTTCTTCTGGAACACTAGCGTAGACTCCGATCATGCACTTGTACGCTGCTGCTTTTCATTGCACTCTTCGGGTGTACGCAAATCGCGCACACCTCGCTTAGCCATTGAGAAGCTAGTGGACCCAGAAGTCAAACGAAACCATCAGAACTAGCTCTTCGAATGCTTGCCGGACGGTACGGTGTCGGATACAAACGGTCACTGGGGGAAAATATCCAGAGCGCTACTTAAAGCCGGAACGTCTGCTTGCGGTACAACCCAGCCAACCTCATCCAAGCACTGGATCTCTGATAGGACCATATCTTTGCTGGAGACCCGGCGACACATTCCACCTGACCGCCACCACAACTTCACCCGGCGCATCATCCGACGCCAGGTGAAACTGAGTGTCGGCGCAGACCGAGAAGCTTGACGGACCCGAAAAGCCGAAGAGATGGAAGATACAAGGAATGCGGGAAATGTCTGCAAGCTGTCCTACTTGATTCGTTTAACCGGTTCTCTTGTCAGCGAAATAATCAGAGACCAAGATGGCTCCCATATATGCAGCAAAGCAGAATGTTTGGACCGCAGGGCACAGTGATTCGAGCAACAATTCAGCTGGCCACTTGCTACCTCAAACTCAGAATCCTGACCTTCAACAGAAAGGTGGACCGTGAATATGGAGCCGCCTTCCGTCTCAAAAGTGTCCGAGTGTATTTCCCTACTGAAGTATCATCGTGCTGTTGGGCCTGACGAACTTCAACCTGCTCTTTTCACTGGAACCCCAGAAGGTCCGGGGTTTGAACCCAATCCTTGCCACTTTACTTCCCCTGTATCCCAGCCTTCGTGCTACCTTCGGGTGGCATGGCAGTTCGGCACTAAAAGAGTGCTACAGCAGAACGATTTTTCTCTCTCCAAGGATGTCGGTGAACTCCTCAGCCAGTGCCTGTCTAGCCCACTTGGATCTATCTAGGAGAAAGAGACCGTCCCAGACAACTCGGGTGAATTGATAATGGTGTCAATTCTCACTTCGCAGTGAATGTAGGAACCGCAGAGGTGTTAGTTTGACTCATGTTGTGACAAGGCTTCTGGCGTCACTAATTCTTCGTCGTCTTTTGGTGGCACGTGAACCGTTGACTCGTGAGAATCAAGTGAGATTTCGACCGGGAAGTGGCTGCGTTGACCACATCTTCACATGCCATCCTTTTGTGCAGTGTAATTCTAACGTGCACTACTGAGTGGGCCAAATACTATCGGCTCAGGTTACAAAGACTGTTCGTCTAGTGACATCGGTCAATCACAGGAACAAACGATGGCGAATGCTGACCCTAGCCTCTATGCCCTTGATTGCTTTATTGACCTTGGGTTGTGTTTCAGCCTGTTCAACCAAACTGGTCTTTTTACTTTCGTCCGGAAGCCGTCTGAATAGAAGGCGTCCAGTTGCTATCATTTGCAGCGGCACCCTGCTACCTGTCGCCGTCAGAGCTGTTCGATCGCATCTATGAGTTTCTCTACCATTGTCAAGCTGAACGATATTGATGACTATATAGCTCCTGCAAAGGTAACCCTAATTCACAAACTTCACTCACTCGACAGAGTTGTATCAAACCGGTGAAGGTCGACACACAAGGTGGCCGTACTAAATCAATACGGATTGAACAGGATGGTACCTACACCGCTGTTACAGAGGTGTAAGTTTCTCGGGATGTACACTTTTATACTAATGATTGCTTTAAGATTGATAATGGTGTCAATTCTCACTTCGCAGTGAATGTAGGAACCGCAGAGGTGTTAGTTTGACTCATGTTGTGACAAGGCTTCTGGCGTCATTGATTCTTCGTCGTCTCATGGCGGCACGCGAAGTCTTGACTCGTGAGAATCAAGTGGGATTTCGACCGTGAAGTGGCTGCGTTGACCACATCTTCACACTCCCTCGGGTGTTAGAGCATCCCCATATGTACAGATGACCCACAACCTCGGTATTAATTGTGTTCGACCCTGTCGATCGATCAGTGCTGTGAATTACAGCTGCCCGAAGACGTAAGCCTGTGGACATAATCAGATCTCTATATTCACATACTTCTGGGCGGGTGAGGGTGTATGGTGAGCTCTCCAAAAGCTTCCCTACAGAAAGTGGTGTCCGGCAAGGATGCCCACTCCCTCCATTCTTGTTCAAATTTATTAGTGATGAAATGATGAGACGAACGCAGTAAGGTCTTTAAGACCCCGGTATTCAAATTGTTGCTGATGAGAGCCCCGTCGGTCTGGAGTTCGCAGACGACATTGCCCTTATCTCAGAAGACGAAGGCGAAGCACAGACCCTGTCGAATAGACTGACCATCATACCATCTTTTGGCATGCGCTTTGAACCTTCAAAGTGTAAAGTCATGCCTCAGATTGTGGAAACTGCAAAAATTCAAGGAGTATCATTAGAGATTGTGGATTACTTTACATACCTCGGTGGTTGCATTAGCTCTGACGGAAATGTGTCCGATGAAGTCAGTGCAAAAGCTCAAAGGCTCGAATCACGTCTGCCAAACTGCGTCAGTTTTGGCGTCAAAACGGCATAGCACTAGATCTTATGGGTCGCGTGTACCAGGGTACGGTAGCGGTTGTGTTGTACGGGTGCGAACCATGGCCTCTGAGGACAGATGATGTGAGGCGTCTTCAGGTTTCCCACCACCGATGCCTCAGAAGTGTGGCTGGTTTTGAATGGCGTCATCGTGTCAGTAATGAAGTGATTAGAAAACGGGTATTTGGTTGTGCAGCCGGTACTTCGATCGGGGAGAACATCCAGCATTAGTGAATACAATGGCCCGGTCATGTGTTATGCATGTCGAAACACTGCCTACCTAGACGAGTGTTGTCCTCCGTACCTCCATCAGGATAGCGCAAACCGCGAGGCGGATAGCGCATGAATTGGCAGAAAGGTGAGAAAGAGATCACAAAGAGTTTGGGTGTTGTACGCCTTGCAGGATGGAGTCCCTGTGACCCCGCCTGTGCTTGGCTGGAGACGTTGCAAGAAATGGTGGCTGGTGGATGTCAGTGGCATTCGTGCCGTCGGTTTCTTTTTAGAATGTCTGATTGAGCGGCTAGAGGTGTGGGCATCTCAGAATGCTTGACATAGGCCCGCACTAGGTCCCCTTTCTGCCCACTCTTCCTCTTCTTTTCGTTCTCGGGCTTTAAATATAATTACACGACCCTTATGGTTGTACAGCAGTGAAGCGTCAGTGTCAAAACTGATGTTGTATTTGACGATGATGATGCCGCAAAAGGCATCACTGATACATCTACGGAATGGTGAAGAAGGAACGCCAAATTCGGCCATGGTACGAACCTCACGGATAACGCGTGTGCATTCTAAGAATAAGATTGCGGGTTCGTGTTCCGTTGTAGGTGTCGCTTGTCCGCTACTATGACACTGGACCTCACCGAAATGCGACAGTTCGTTTACCTCCATAACCCATTGAAGTATATTAGGGAGTGTGAGTGACTCCCAGAGCCTCCCATGCCAGACTGTTACTATTACCACAACTTTTCGATTCTTCATTTTTGTGACCTATGAGGCGTTCATGAAGAGCTCCGTAGGGTTCCAATAAAAAGAGAACCTTAATTTGGTTTATATGCACTGTAACAGCGTTTTTAAGTGCTTGCTCCAGTTGCTCTCCGTCTTGGCGTCTACATGCATCTGATAGGTAGGTAGACTAAGGTCCGATTGGGTGGTCGTCTTGGCTTGGACACAAGACGCACGGACAACGGAGGCCTCTTACTTCAGATGTGTGCCGATCACAGGCTGTTCCT